CCTGTCAATATATAAAATTAGTGTAACTTTTCTTTCACAATGCTTCACGGCGCTACAGTCGGTGCACTTAACTAACCAAAGCAAATTCTTTTAGAGTATTTCCAAAAATTGTATGATGTGTTAATTTGAAAGATGTTTTATGCGGATGTGGTATTAAGCAAGGTAGAATCTTAGAAAAAGTTCACATTACTCTTACCTAAAGCTGTGACACAGGATATCGTCCACATTCCACAATAATCGGCTTCATAAGATCTCTTTACTACTCTCCTGTATTATAGATGTAAAGCCTTTTCATAGCTATTCTGGATGATGGAATTTCCTCTTCCTCCTCCGTAGGAGGAGGAACGAGAAGCTCTTCGTATTTGTTTGCTGTTTGCACAGAGGCCATCTGAAAAAACAATTTGCGAGTCGCTTTCAACTTCAAAAAAAATCAAAAACATTTCATACTTTGAATTGCGTTGTAGTTTGCGTCCATTTATTCCTCATTTTCGCTCTTTCTTCATATTTCTCGTTCAACATCTTCTTTCTGAAACATTTATAATTTTTCTAGATTTCATATTTAGTAAATAAATCGAATCATTTTTTTTCCATACGCAAAGCAACCTAATTCACAAATGCCCCCTAGATCCAATTCTTGAATCCTAACAAATCGTTATCGCAGAAATTTGTGTCAATTTATTTAAAATTTTGTACTGCCCCATCTCTCATTTTCTTCTCAGCTTTCTCCCGACATAGCTGGTCACATTTTGAATTTAAAGCACAAAAGAGATATCCGCCTACTGATGATGACTCATGAATCGCATCAGAAGTCGGTCGGATACGCTCATCTTCTCCCCATATTGCTTCACTACGTCATCACCTAAAAAATGTTTATTTGTTGCAAGCATGAACTCGTAGAAATGTTTCAAATAAACACTGTTTTGAAAGCTCATTTGTTCTGTTAGAGTTGATGGTCCTGGAAAGGAATCTCCGTTGGGCATTGCAAGACGATGATTGTATGATGTATGGTTGTTGACGTTTTT